GGGCAGGCGAGTAGTATTTTTTCTCCCAGAAATCTATTTGCAGCAGGTGCTCACAGCAGGGGTGTGGCACATCAGTGTCTTTGCGGGTGGGCATGGAGATTTCTCTGGTGTGGGGCAGTCCTTTCATGCTGGCTATGGCCCCAGGGATCTGCTTCAAGTCTTGGTCACATCCTAGCTGCCCACTTCCCAGCTGTGTGATCATGGCAGACCAGCTTTACTTTTCTGGGCCTGTTTCTTTCTGTCTTAAAAACAGAGTGGCAAGGACCAGCGCTGTGGCACTGTGGGCTAAACTGTTGTTTGCATGGCCAACAGCCTCTGTCAGGGTGTTGATTTAAGTCCTGATGGCTCTGGTTCCAATCCAGCCTCCTACTAATGCACTTGGAAAGCAACAGAAAGTGGCCCCAGTGGCTGGGCCCTTGCCATGCATGTGGAAAGCCAGGCTGGAGTTCCTGCCTTCTGGTTTCCACCTGGCCCAACTCTGGTCATTGTGACCAGGATGGGAAGTGAACCAGAGGGTGGGAGATCTCTCTCTCTGGGACTCTAACTTTCAAATAAACACAATAATTTAATTCTTAAAAATAATCTTTCCTAAGTATCATTCTCTCTGATATTTCACAATTTGCAAAGATAAACCTCGCACCCCACCCTCCCTCCCCATTTCCACATTATTGCCCTTTGGGTCATCTATTTATAACAGGATTTTTCTTCCTAAACTTTGAGCCCCTACAGGGCTGGAGGACTTCCTGGATCATCCCGGGCTCCCAACCCCAAAGCCCTTTCAATGAAAGTGGAGGCCACAGTGTTCACTCCACTTGCACCAGCTGTGTGACCTGAGGAAGCCGGGTCACCTCTCTGTGCTGTTATGAACCAGTGCACAAGGTGGCCACTGCCAATGTTTGTCCTATTTGAGGATCTTGATTACTCTCATCTTCATTTAGGAAGCACCCATGAAGTGCCAGGCATGGGCTGATTTGGGTAGCTATCCTTCTGTCATGATCTCCGCCCACATTAGCTCTAATGTCTGTTTTTATTGCCTCTACAGAGTCACAGTCATTATTGTTCATGGATGTAAGGTGTGGCACTCAGGGTCCAGCACACAGTAGGTCTTTAATAAATGGCAACGAAGGAGAATGGTCATGCCAAAGCCTAGAACGTGTGCAGACCTGCCCAGTAGACTCAGAGGAAAACCAAGAGCCCCATTGCTTGGTCCACAGGCCTGTCCCCAGAACTCAGCCAACATCGTCCAGTACCCACTAGGACCACCGACTCAGCTTGGTCTGCAGGGCCAAAGCTTTCTTGTGGTCCATGGGATAAGCAGCAATTGCATTCACTCAGCCCCAAGGATGGAATTATTTTTACTATCCAACCCAAATTGGTTTACTCAAACTGTCAGTGGAAACCAAGCAAGATAAATTAAACACAGCAGCTCTTGGGCCTCACATAACCCTGGCTGGCGAGATGCTATTTTCACTCCCGTCTGTGGGAGGGAAGAGGCTCCGAGTGTAGCTGCTGTTCTGCTTTCTTGCTTGCGTGCCAGTGTGTCCAGGGCGGAGAGCCTCGAGCTGCTGACCGGAGGACACAGCTCCCACCTGCCTGGCTTTAATCCCTGTGAGTGCTGCCAACCTGTCTCCTGATGCCCCATTTGGGGAAGCCAGGTTCCCTGGGGCAGCCCTTTAAGGCCCTGCTGGCGAGTCTTCCTCCTAAGTGCCTGATTGTCCTATTTCATGGAGACCTCGTGGAGTTTTGCACACATGGCACTTCCTTTTCAAAATGCTGGAATGCCATCCAGTGGAGTTCAGATTTAAGTGCTGATAGTTCCTAGCCAGGCTATCCCATGTACCTTTCTCCCTTTGCCAAGTCTCAGGGTTCTCCTTTGTACAATGGAAATAGCCACAGCAGCCTCTGAGTGCAAATATCTTGAAGACAGTTGGGGTGTGCTCAGCTCTTGCTATGTCTTGCAGGTCAGGAGCGAGCACCCTGGCTAGGGACCCTGGTACATACTGTTCCTGGTGGCCAGAACACTTTTCCCTTTCTCCCGTGCCTCCCTCCCCTGCGCCCTTCAGGTGTCAGCATAGATCAGAGTTTCCCTGCTGCTCCTGACATTTTGGATAGGTGATTCTTGACAGGGGGTCCCGTTCTTCTAAACCTTGCAGGTGGCTTTGTATTCTTCCTGGCTACTTCCCACCAGATGACAAGAGTCAGCTCGCCCTGTCACTGCCCAACTGTCACAACCAGAAAGGCCTCCAGACTTTGGCAGTTGTCCCTGGAGTTGACAAAGCTTATTTAGCCATTCCTGTCTCTTGCAGGTCCCCTGGGTTGTTGCTTGTTTGTGCCTTGTCAGCTTACGATGTGGCCCTCAAGGACAGGGTTAACTCTATCTTCCTCCTGCTGGTGAGAGTCTCTACCGCATACCTCTGCCCCAGTTTGATGTTACTTTGAGTCCTAAGGTCCAGGGAGGATGTCAACTGCTTGCCCCATTGAAGTGGGGGACATAGTCCTCCTTACTGACCCTGCTCCCCTCTTAAGACTATCTATTGTCCTGCAGTTGGCTTAGAATTTGGGATTAAGAGCATATGATCTCTCCGTTTTTCTGGCCTTTCCCTACCCACTCCCCATCCCTCCTTGTTCATCATGGCCACATGGAGTTTGCATTCAAATTCTGACTTTGAAAATTCATGACTATCTGACTTTGTTTAATTGGCTCCTACTTATTGAGCACTTACTATGAGCCAAGCTTAGTGCTAAGTGTGTAATGTAGGAGGCAATGGTGATGCTTCCAGCAATTAAGTTCTTGTCACTCATAGGAGAAACCTGTATTAAGGTTCTGAGTCCACATTTGGCACCTGTCCAGCCCCAGTCATTGCTGGCATTTGACCAATGAATTAATGGATGAGAGTTCTAACAATCATTTCTATTCCTATCTCTATCCCTCTGTATCTGCCTTTCAAGTAAATAAAATGCATATTTATTAAAAAGTTCATGGGTGGAAAGATCTTTGCCAAGAGTAAGTGCTCAATTGCACAAGCATTTTCATGAGAAGGGACTTTCATCATCAGAGCAAGGATTGCAAACTGATGGTCTTCAGTTTGAATTCAGCAAGTAGACCAGCCCTCTCTCCCCACTCCCCATAGCTCCTGTCCTTTACAATATTTTGTAGCAGCCCAATTCCCATACGTATGGTACTTGCCTGTTCTGTTAGGGCTAGAGTCTCTGCCCACCCTTGGATTAGGGCAGCCCATGACTGCAGAGAACTCTGAAGGTTGGAGGGGCTATGTGTAGGAACTGCACTCAGGACATGGTGTATCCAGGCATGGAGGAGGGGGTGAAGAGATCTTTTCTTAGTCAACACTGACCTCTATGCCTGTCCCTTGCAAAGGCTCCCTTCAGGACACAAAAACCAACAGACTGGACTGGTAGAGGATTTTTGCTCCCAGAATCAGCCGCTCTGTCCCATGTGTGTTTGGCAGTGGAAATAAAACTCAATTCAGTGTCAAGCTGAAGGTTAATGGAATATTTGACACTCTGAGGAGATGAAAGCAGGATTCCCCTGGCACCAAAGGGAGGTGTGAGTCAATCTTGTTTGAACAAAACCATCCATCTGGGAGGTCCCATACTAGGAGAGAAAGGTTGAGCCAACAGAAGGAGGGGATAGGATGAGCATTTGGTGCAATAGTTAAAGGTGCAGCTTGGGTTGCCCATGTCCCATATCAGAGTGCTCAGGTTTTGAGTCCTGGATCTGCTTTCCAGTCCAGCTTCCTGTTAATGACGCTCTGGAGGGGCAGCAGGTGATGGGCAAGAAGTTGAGTGTCTGCTACCCACATGAGAGACCTGGATTGAGTTTCTGAGTTTTGGCTTCAGCCCCAGCCCATCATTGCAGGTCACAGGGGAGTGAGCCAGCAGATGGGAGTTCTGCTTCTCATAAGTTTGATGAATAATTTGCAGGTCATGTTTTTCTTCTCTTGCAGAGCCGGGTGGCTTTTGAGGGCTGCTCCCCAGCCTGCACTTTGACATCTTCTCCTGCTCACTGCAGCCTGTCTCAGCTGCCTAGGATTACCAGGAAGCTTTTCCATCTCCTTTCCTCAGATACCACCCTCTGTCTGTGCTCCCTTCTCACCCTCATCTCACCCAGGGCTGTGGAAAGCACATGGCTGAGAAGTCACTGAAGCCTGGATTCAGTTCTGCTCTTGGCAGCTGTGTGGCTTCTGTTGGTCTCAGTAGCCTCATGTAGACCACGGTATCATGGACCTTCATACAGGGCTCCAATGGCCAGGGGCAATCCCTGTTGTGTCTTGCACAGAATCAGTGCTATCCTACTCCCTGGGATAGCCATTCGCCTGGGAGAAAGTTCTGGAAGTTCTGGTTTCCCTCACTGAAGATAGTAAACACAATCACACAGCCAAATAAGTCCATTCTCCAAAAACACGTGTCCATTCAACAACCATTTTTCATGAATACCAATTACATACCAGGCTCTAGATCCAAACCTGAAAGCCAGACCATGTCATGACTAAAGGGAGGAGATACAGACAAGAAAGCAAATTATTGTTGGACTGTGAGCAGCAACAGTGCCTTGTCCCCTTGGCCACCATGGCCACTCAAACTCTCGCAAATGACATGCTTGTTCTAGACGCAGGACCTTTGCATATCCTTCTCTTTCTGAACACATCACTCCAACTCATCCTTTAGTCCTGAACATTCAGGACAGATCCTCAGTGAACTATTTTCTGATTTCTCTCCTTAGACCAAATCCCAGCTTACCAATCTTTCCCTAGATCACTGATGAAGGCTACAGAATGCAATTGTCAGTGCATACTCTCATGAAATGTTTGTTTCCTTAAAAGATAGGGACTCTATGTGTGCTGATGTTGTTGGTTTCCTGGTGGGCTCTGCAGGAAAGTACCTGGAACTTAGCAGACACTTAACCAGCAGGAGAAATTTCTTTCCACAGCTCCTAAATTCAGCTGATTGGTGGGCGCAGGTTGCCCATCAAAAACACTCACAACTGGATGTCCAGGAAGATCCTCTTCTCTTCCCCAACATGAATCTTCCAGACACAATCTTCACCCTCCACATAGGGCTCCGGCCAGTTTGGAGAAAGCACCACCCCAGCCACAGCAGAGAGCTCCCCACCGCACATAGCTGTAAAAGACAGACATGATTTGGTAAGGAAGCCAAGATGGCACAGTAGACAAAAATGTGGACTTTCATATCACATGCTAGTGCATCTCTGAGTCCCGTGGGTAGGTGGTTTCATCTCAGATAGTCAGAACCTGCCTGTGGAATGACTAAATGAAAGCTCGTCACCTGCCTCCTTGGCTGAAGGTTGGTAAAAGGCAGGTAACGGGCTGTGGTTAATTCAGGACCAAGGACAGAACTCAACAGGTGGAGGGCCTCCTCAAGGGATCTGCTCTGTGAGTAGTGAGAAGCGAGTGAGGATGGATAGTGAGAAGAGATGGTCACTCAAGTCAGGTGAGTTCAGGGGCCAGGCTTGTCTGCTCGGATGGGCTTGGGATAAGATATGCAACTCCTTGGAGCCTCAGAGTCCTGTTATAAAATGGGGGAGTTGCCACCACTGAATTCCCTGGGTTTTGTTGAAGCTTGATGGAGCACATGAATGCTAGGCAGGCAGCTCAGTGCATGGCACATGACATGGACTTGATAATTTAGTTATCGTTCCTGTTCAGTATTCCGCCCTGTACCGGGAGCAGGGATGTGGTTGTGGCAAGAGCCACTTCAGTTTCACTCTGTATGTTCTGTTTTGGAAAGCTCTCAATGTGGCAGAGGCCAAAGCACCAATAAATTCCGCTCTGTTCAACCAGCACATTTAATACAGGGCTCAATCCCTCACCGTGGCAAAGCTGTGATTTTATGCCAGCCCCCGTTCAGGTTGGAGCTGCCAGAGAGCAAGGGCACCCTTCATTACTCCACATGCTGCCCGGAGAGCCTTGAACGAGGGGGAGATAGGGGTGGGTAGGCCACTGGGAGCCTGTGTACAGACAAGGGTCTGCACAGGCTCCAAGGTCCACAGATCTCTAAAAACACAGAGATCCAGCTCTTGGTCTACCAGTTGCCTCCAGTGTGCTCCTAAACTTGTCATCTCGTGGTCTCCACCAATGTTGCTCATAGTATCTACTGATAGGGTTGTGGGTGAAGGAAATTTAATGCAACTCTTGGCTGGGCACCTGCAGCATAATTATTGCACACCTATTGGTAACTATTATGATCATTATTATCAATGCAGCTTGAGGCTGCCATGCTGTCGGCCCGGGCTGGGGACTGCATAAAGGTGCAGAGCAGAGCAGAGCAGTTGATATCCATGCAGGAATCTGCTGACCAAGCTGTGCACTGTGGGGGTCTGTATTTGGAGCAAGGGGCCCCTTTCAGAATGTACCCCTCTGCCATTTCCCCTGAGGATTAGTAGCAACCGGAGAGCCACAGAAAAGATTGGGGTACAAACTGGGACTGGGTTTCCAACTTAGAACTCAAGTCTTCTCCTGGGATGGGGTGTGAGTCCCTGGGGGCCCTGGGCAGAGGGCCGTGTCCACACTCACCTCTGCACAGGGGCTCCGTGTCATTCCAGTACGGGTCCCGCACATTGATGCACTCGATGATGGCTGGGCCTTGTTCCAGAGAGTGGCCAGGGTCGCAAGTAAACTCCACAATGGTTCCAATGTTATAGGTGGGGTCAGACGTGGTGAAGTTCCCATTCTGAATGTACGGCTCGTAACAGTGGCCTTTCTCAAAGGCTAAAATGGGGACCAAAAGAGAGAAGGCAGCTAAGGACGACAGATGGGACTCCAAGAAGGTGGGCCCCTCACTTTTGAGAAAAGTGAAATAAGCCCCAGGCCATGTGTTCCCATTCTAACCCTCCAGATGTGTAGCCATAGGGCATACACTTGACCTCTTAGGACCTTGTTTCATTTCTATCCCAAACTAGAATTTCTGATTAACTTTCTTATCCCATAGCTCCAGCGTCCTGATGTCTGCCCCTGGAAACTATAGTTTTGCCTGAGGTAAAGACTAACGTTTCCTGGGGAGGTCAGAGCAAGAACCCCTCAATGTCCAGTGCCACCTTTCTGATTAGGTCAGTGTTTGCTAATTCTTCTTTTTAAATGATTCATTTTATGTATTTGGAAGGCAGAGTGACAGAGAGAGCAGGAGAGACAGGCATGAAGAGATGTCCTACCCTCTGGGTCATTCCCCAATTGGCTACTGAACCAGGCAGAGGCCAGGAGCCTGGAATCCCATTCAGGTCTCCCAGGTGGGTGTCAGGGGCCCAGGCACGTGGGCCTCCTTCTGCTGCCTTCCCAGACACATTAGCAGGAAACTGGATTAGAAATGGAGCAGCCAGGTTTGTAAGCAGCACTGGCGTTCTTGCTGGTGGTTTAACCTGATGTGCAACCATGCTAGTCCTGAAGCAACAGGAGGCTGAACTACAAGAAGTCTTGTTGGGGTGGAGTTATAGAAAGAGTTTAAGGACCCACAACAGGTTATAGAGACAGATGTGTTGCTCCAATCTTTTTTTTTTTTTTTTTTTGCCAAGGAATGGCATAGGGTACTTTAAAGATGGTTGAGAGCTGCTTTTGGCAAAGAAGGAATTGGTCTAGCCAACCTCACATTCCCCTCTTCCCCGGCAGCACAAACTCCTGCCTCCCCAGGATCCAGCTCAGACCCTAACATGCTTCTTGTGCTCCCGGTTACCCTCCAAGACTCTCACCCTCAAACCGGATGTTGAAGGCTGAGGCTGCCTGGCTCTGATCGGATGTGAACTCGATGCGAATGATGTGGCCTTCACTCAGCAGCCCCTCGAAGGGGACGCTCTCGGTTTGAAGGGAGTCATAGAGAAGAGTCGACTTGTTGGTCTGCCCGCTGTGGACCGTCATCCTGGCAGTGGGAACAGAGAACAGAGGGTCTGTTTCTTCCTCTATCCTTCCTGGGGCACCCATGCGCAGTAGCAGGAGGGTTCATGTGACTGCTCCATCTGGGGTCTCATTCACATCTCTGGCTTAGCCCTGGCTGGCCTGGACAGGTTGGCCACATCACCTGCTTGAACCTGTTGCCTCTTTTGGGGAAATGTGACCAAATCTCTGTCCATTCCTCATGGATGAAACTAAGGAACAGCTATTAATTAGCATTCCTAACGAGATGCCGGGTTAGTAGATGACTATCATGGCAGGAACAGTACACATGGAGTCAGGCAGATCTGGATCAGAGTATTAACTGCGTGACTTTTGTGCAGGCACATTTCCCCTTTCGAAGCCTCTGGGAGGAATCAGATTCCCATCTGAGGGTGGAGATGAGAGACAGAGGACACCAGGTGCTCAGGATGGAGGATGGCATGAGCCATTTACAAGGCACATGGTCTCTGATAGGCTCTGTTGCTGATCCCTGTCCGCTAAGAGCACTCCTGGGGGGTGTCAGGAGTCCAGATCTGCCACTCCCAATTCCCCTTCAGTTGGGTTCACCTAAATACCAGTTTCCCAAATGGGGGAAGGTAGCACCACACCATTTTTCCAACCTACCTTACAGGTAGGTTTTGAAAAGAGGAAGAAAAAAATAAAGTTCCATGAAGAATAGATGCTTTAGACAAAACATCCTTTTTATGGTTATTGAAAGCATTCAGTACTTGATTCTTTGCTAGTCCCAGTATTTTTTTTTCAAATTATGCAAAAGTGGGGGAAGAACGCAGTATAGAAATAACTCAGTTTCTTTTATGGAGTCATAAACATTGATTTTTAATCCTTTGAGTTTTTTTTTAAACTGTGATTTGTAAAAGGTGGATTTTATGTTGCCCAGTTGAATTTCAGATGTGATTAGGATGCACCCAGGGTACAGCCATAATCTGTCCATTTTGCCGTGTGTCCAATCCAGCGGAGAGAGCTGCAGTAGAGGTCAAGGGTCATCCTGGGGATGGGAAGGGGGCCATCTCACAGTCACCTGACTCCTGTTGTATCTTGGGGGCTGAGCACCAGGACTCTCCTGGGAAAGAACAGAAGACCCTGACAAAGACGGTTGCTTTGGAGAAAACATCGCAGTCCCCAAATCTCCACAGTCTATTAGTCTTCTAAAAACACCATCTTCCTAGCTATGTCCCCAGAATGTCTGTGAAAGTCATTATTTCCATCTGAATCCCGTGTACAGTCTGAGGGCACATGGGTTTGGGAAAGGGTGCGTCGAACAAAAAGGTAACATTTTGTTTTCCTGCAGAAACTTAGGGCTTTTGCTGGCTCATGTGTCTTAGGATTTCTCAAGAAAGGGTGTGGAGGGGGTCATACAACATCTTTTAAATATGTTGGACCAGAAGTCCCAGCATGTCTGTTGCATATTATGGGACAAAAGAAAGACACCACTTTGTGAGAGGTCTTCTTAAAATCCTTCTCCACGTCCTTCCACTGCCCCAAACCTTTCCGTGTCTCTGTTGCCCACAGAGGTAGCTCGGTATTCAGAGGCTACCTCAGATAGAGTCCGTTAATCTTCCCAGCTTTATTTTTACCTTTTTTTTTTCCACGAGAACCTCGGCTCTAGCACTCCTCTATCCTAACAGGCTCGCTCTTTGCTTTCCCTACGTATTATCCATCCTTGGAATACCCATGCCACTGTATCTCTGGGTTCCAGTCCCCATCTCTTTCCAATGAGGAGCTCAGAGTTCCATTTGGTCTCTAGCTCTGAGTTTTTGCAATGAACATGTTGTGGCAGACAATATCAAGTCCTCATTCCTTCTAATGAATGCCACCATTGTGTGTGTGTGTGTGTGTGTATCTTTAACCTTGATGAACTATTGCAAACCTTTTTGCAGGCAGATACCCTTGAGAACCAATTTCCCTGGGTCAGTGCCAACTCATTTCTTCCACTGATCACTTTGCAGGGTCCCCAAGAAGCTGCTGGGGAGCTCTACCTGTGTGTCTGTGTGGTCCATGTTAAGAGCTTTTGGTGAGTTTCCTTTGTTCAGCTCATTCTTGCTGTCGGCTATGAGCTTGGTTTGTCTCTAGTGCCCCTGGGAAGAAGAGACTTCCCCAAGCTGTCTGTCTTAGCATCCTTCTTGGAGGGCTTCCATGCCTGGCTTCTCCAGCAGGCAGATTGGGATCTGGCTCTTAATGAAGCCCCCAGGTTATTCTGAGGCTGCTGTGGAGCCAGGCACCGAGCAGGTGTCCAATAAATGCTCCCTGCTTCTTCGACTGCAGAAAGGGATAGACAAGTGAGGGAATGAAGAGGCAATGCAGAGAACAATGCTTCTCTCCTTGCCTCTCTCAATATGCTGTTATACATCAAGGAGTGAGTGCCCCTCACCATGTGTGCTGGTTTCCTCATCTGTAATGGGAAGAGGTAGAAGCTGATGTGTGCTTGGATCTCTGCCATCGTCCAAGCTCTTTCTCTCTTGAATTCCATGAGCCGAAAGCCACAGCTATTTCAAGATGGCAGACCCCTAAGGCACATTCCCAGGTGCAGGGAGGTAAGGGGCTGGGGGGTGGGAGATGATCTCCAGGGGCTCACCTGTCCTTCTCATGCAATGACAATTTCTCAAAGTGCAGGTGCAGCTTCTGGCTCTCTGGGGCTTCAATTGTCCATACGCAGAACTGGTTCCCATTGCTGTTGTTCCCAGGGTGACTTGGGGAGAGGACACGGCCGATGGTGGCGTTGTGTACTGTCCCTCCGCAAGGGGCTGAGTCCAGGGAGTAGGAGTTTGGGTGGGCAATGAGGAAGGAGAGCAAGAGGCAGGGGGAAGGGGAAGGAAAAGAAGGGGAAAGGAGGAGGAGAGAGAGAGAGAGCTCAAGTGAATAATTCATTCTCTCCATGCCATCCGTCTTTACCTGTCAGCTAGGATGAAACAGAAGCAATCTGAGATGAGAGAGAGGAGAAACAGGGAAAAAGATCTTGGAAGGAACTTGTCTTCCTGAGGGGAGAGAGGTCACCCTATTTGATGGAAGCCCTTACTCTAGAACTGGAGCCATCCATATGTTCACTTTGTAGTAGGGAATGGTTGCAATTTAAGGTTTCCTCTATGGTGTCAGCTGTGGCCAGACTTTTCATTATAAAACAACGATCAAGAATTATGAGTAGGAAGTTCCTCAAAGAAGAAATATACTTTTAGTACTTAGTGACCACTAAAAAAAAATGCAGCCTCACTCAGGAGAAAAGCAAAATCTGTAGTGTAATCTTTCATTGATACCTAACTTGTCAAGATAAAATTCTCAAGCAGTTTCTGGAGTTGGTCCAAGCGATGGGAGATAACGAGTTTCAGAGACTGGGGGGAAGACCCTGAGTCTCAGAGGAGGGCAATTCAGCGAGACGTTTGGACAACATGTGCCTACACCCTGACTTAGTAGTCACACATCTGGAATGTATCCTAAGCAGTGACTTGGAGATTTGTGCAAAGATTTATGGATGAGGACATTCAATGCTACTCTGTTTTTAAGAGTGAGGAGTGGGGCTGGTGATGTGGCACAGAGGGTTAAGCCACCATCCAGGAAGCTGGCATGCTTCCTTTCCAATCCAGCTCCCTACTCATGCACCTGGGAAAGCGGTGAAAGATGACCTCAACATGCTTGGGGCCCTGGAGTTCCAGGCTCCAGACTTTGACCTGGCCCAGCCCTGGCCATTGCAGCCATGTGGGGAATGAACTAGCAGATAAAAACTCTTTCCAGTAATACATAAGTCTCCTTTGAAAAAAAAAAAAGAGTGAAAAAATGAACAGCCATTCCCAAATGTTTGGTAAAACAATATCCTCCAGGTATACAGTTATTCAAGACCATAGTCTCCAAAAATATAAGAAAGTAGTACTTTTTAAGGAGAAAAAAATGGAAGTTAGAAAATGATCTCTCATATCTATTTCAATGAGCTATTTGCAAGCATCAAATGAGATCATGAACAGAAAAGTGAATAACTCTTATCACCCACATTTTTGTAATTCTTGGAAATTCATTTTTACTAGAACCATCTATGACTTTTCTCATATAAAACTTAATATAAGAATACTAAACAAAGAGATTTGTGCATTAGCAAGAGCCACACAAACCTTTGTGGTTCACAAAGAAGGGGGCTGTTCCTCAGAACTGTTTGGTTCTTAGGGAATTGCTTTTCATGCATTGGTTGGGAGAGCTACTTTGCATTTTCCAAACCCAAGAAGATCTGGTAGGCAACAGGCACCTCTGCCAGGGTTCAGCAGTCAGCCTGGAAGAAAAGAATGTGAGATGCAGCCCAAGGTCACAGCTGGGTCAAGTCCAGTGGTTCAGATCAGGGAGACTATTTCTGTATTTTAGAAAGATCAAAAAAACCTGTGCTAGCTTCCTCCCCAGGCACAGCTGCCTGGGAAAGACAGGGATTCTTCATTTCTGCAGGATAGAAAGACAGAAAGGAAAATAAATGTGTGTGTGTGTGTGTGGCTTCACAAGAGCTGGGACAATATTTCCCTTTGCTTTCTGCTTTACTATGGAAACCTTTCTGGGATGCAGCGTGCTCACCATAAATGCTGATTAAGTAAGACACAACCATTTCTTGAGCAGCAGCAGGAGGAGGGCAGGCATGTTCAGTCACTTGCTCCAGGAGACACAGCTAAGAGCAGCAGCTGGCACTTGGGTTCCTTTAGCCTCACCCCAGAATCTGTTATGGGAGCCACTACTTTGCCTGCTCCCTTAAAAAAAAGGTTTATTTATCTTTATACGGAAGGCAGACTTATGGAGAGAAAGATCATCCATTTGCTGCTTGACTCCCCTAGTTGCCACAAGGGCTAGAGCTGAACTGATCTGAAGCCAGGAGTCAGGAGCTTCTTCCAGGTCTCCCTGGAGGGTACAGGTCCCAAGGCTTCGGGCTGTCCTCTGCTGCTTTCCCAGGCCACACAGAGGGAGCTGAATGGGAAGTGGAGCAGCCAGGACATGAACCAGTAATCCAATGGGAACCTAATGCTTGAACGGGGAGGATTAGTCAATTGAGCCATTGTGCCAGGCCCGGCTTTACCTTGTTATTCATACTCAGTTTTCTGCTGATCCTCAATGGTGGGTGCTTGGCTCACAACAAGTGTTTTATAGATGTCTACTGAATTAAAAAAAAAATGTATTTTTTTTCCTTCTTGTACTTTCAATTCCAAGCCCATGCTTGTCACAAAGCAGGTGTACATGCAATATTTGTGGAATGACAGAATGACAAAATTCCAGTTCCAGAAAGAGAAGTACAGCCTTTTTGCCCTCTTTCTTGCTATGGACTCTGCTGTGACCATCAGCAAGGAGAGCACCAAAAATGTAGGGCTTCTTTTGGGAACACAGCAAGAGCATGAGAACCTTTTATGAAGCTCACTGTCTGGACCTCAAGTCTGCTCCCCGGAGGATGGGAGTAATAACTCCATCCTCCATGAACAACCAGCAGTCGGTGTCTGGAGAGAGCTTGATGCCGCTCCTGGCACAGAAGTGGTGCTGGATGTACAGCTGGCATCACTGCCCAGTGGCTCGGGAGCTGGGAGCTGGAGGGCTTCGTCCCCGATGGAGGGCGCCGGCCATCTGTCCTCTCAACTGTTGCTCGCTTTCTTTCCCCTCTTCTCTGCCTTATTAAGCCGACTGATAGCTCTGTTTGCCTTTCATTTGCCAGCCGTGGTTCCCTATCCATCTTTCTCAGTGCAAATTGAAGCTTAATTCCTCTCTGATTTCACACATAGATAAAAATTAACATGAGAGAGGCACGGAGGCCTACTGCCCTGGGATTTGAATCTTTTATTTTTTTCTTTCCCCCCTTTTTTTTTTAAAGGGAAAAGAAAGAAAAAATTCTGAAGGGCCTTGGGGAAAACAAAATTGCAACAATTAAATCTCAGAATTTATTATCAGATCTCATTTGCCTTAAAAAATTTTTTCTTTGGCATTGCACTTGACTGCAATGCGAAGGGGGTAGGAATGGTATTTTATTGTTGTCAGCCTTGTCTTTACATGTGGCTCATAAACTGGCACACACACATAGTAGGTGTTCAGCTGCTACGGGGACCTCTGCTCTCCTAGGCACAAGCGGGGCTTTGGAGACCCTGCCAGGGTTTTGCTCCCTTGTTGAGCATCTAGTTGAACACAGTGAAGTCTCTACCCAGTCAGGGCTGGTTGTGGCACGGTCCTGGCTCCTCATGATGTCATGCTGAGATAATGCGCCCAAGAGCCATGCTCTGATGCACATTCTGAGCCAGTGGGTCTCCTGGGCGGCTCAGGATTGTGCGTTTCTGATCAACTCATTCATCTGTTGACCACACATGAAGTTAAAGGTGTAAGAGACAGAGCTCAGAAGAGAAGGGTGCAGATTCAGTTCTGCCACCACAATCATGTTACATCTTCTCCCTTAACCCTATTCTCTGTTACCTGTGAAGTGGTAATCCCACCTGCCTGAGCTCTGGGGAAGGAGTAGGTATTGTCCTACCTGGTTTCCATCTCTCTGCTCTGACCACCAATACTCTCTCAGCCACTGAAAGATGGGGGGACCACTGTGATGTTGAATTCTTGCAGGTAGCACCTGGCTGTCACACAGCTTGAAGGCCTTGAGTAATACATTTGCTCACCACTTCCTTTACCTCCTCTCGGCCATGATCTCTGTGGGTTAGCCACAGTGGTCCATTGTTATGTTCTCACATTCACTGAGAACCGACTCCTTTCTGGATCCTTGAGTAGGTGGGTTCCTCTGCTCTCTACCTCCAGCCACAGTATTTCCTGCTCAGCCTCTAGATCTTGGTGTAACAGTTTCGCCTTTGGTGGCTCCTTTGCTGACCCATCTTCTCCTCCCAAGATGGGTTTTCTATGGCATTTTCCCCGTGGCAACGCCCCTTGCAACAGCAACTAATGTCTTTGATGTCTCTGACTTACTTTGCGTTGCTATCATTCCACCCTGGTTATGCTAGCATCACCTGTCATCGCTGACATGACGCACCCTGCACTAGATTAGAAATTCCATAAGGGCAGGGTTTGCCGCAGGGTTCTGCGGTAGCTCCAGCACTGAGAATGGTGCGTCCAGTGGGTGTTCTTGGAAGAAACTCATTCATAGGAGAGTCTGAATAATAAAGAATCACGCCTTGTACCTAGAATTTTTTGGTTTGTTCTTTAAGTCTCAGGTTTTTTCTGCAGGATTCTTCTTCTTTTTTATTTAGAGGGCCTCAGGTCACCCACACTGGCTACCTTGGTCAAGTTCTGATGACTTTTGGCAAACAGTTCGCACCTATGCAAACCTGGATATCCTCAACTGTAAAGTTGGGATGATGGTTTCCATTACATAGGATTTGGTGTGAGGGTGAGTTTCAGCCCCGCCATTATGCTATATTTTGGAAGTTGGTAGCAGGCATACCCAAAACACGAAGAACAAAAGAAGAAAAGTTAATAGACTTCATCAAAATGATTTCATATTAAATGAGACCGTTAGAAAGTGAAAAATCAGTATCCAGAATGGGAAGGAATATTTACAAATCATATCTTAAACAAATCTACACTTTACCTTAGACAAAAGCCTGAGAAGCAATGTCTTAAACAAATCTAACATCCATAATATATTAAAAAAAAAACCCCTCTTACAACTCAACATCAGAAACACAATATAATTTTTAAAAATGGACAAAGCCTTGAATTGATATTTCTCCAAAGAAAATATCTTCATGCCTAACCAGCACCCAACGTCATTTGCCATCAGGGAAAACATAAAAGAAAACCACAGTGTAATGCCTCCACTCCCCATTGGGACAGCAGTAACAAAGTCAACCCTAGGGGACACAGCAAGTGTGGGTAAAAGTGTGGAGAAATGGGTATCTTTGTGTATTGTTGAGGGGGAAGAGAACCTGATGCAGGTGCTGTGGATCATTTTCTTAAAAGTTACAGACAGAATCAATGTGTAACCTAGCAGCTTCCCTCCTACGAGACGTGAAAACTTTTCATATAAACACTTGCATGTAACTGTGGGTAGAAACATCATGACTGGTAAGTGGAACCACCGCTTATCTCCCACAGTGAATGAATGGAAAAGCAAAACATGGAACCTCCATGCAACAGAATAGTATTCAGTCCCACGAAGTAATCAAATCTGGTTCTAAGCTATAGGGTGGACGAATGATGAAAACATCGTGCCGAGTGCAAGAAGCCAGACGGACAAGCAACAACTGTATAAACCCACTCATGTGAAATATTCACCATAGGCAAATCCACAGACACAGCAATGCAGACTGGTGGCTGCCAGGGTGGAAGGTGATGGTGAATGGAGTGGCAGCTAATGGGTGGGGTGAGACAAAGACGTCCTAGGGTAGACAATAGTGGTAGTAGCACTGAGAATGGACCAAGGGTCTTAGTGAATGATAAAGTTTGTGTTATTTGTGTTTTATTCCAACAAGATGATTTCAGTGGTGTCAGGAACAATTGCTTCCTGCAGCTACAAGCTGTTCCCAGAGGCTACTCCCAGTTGGGGTTGGGGGGGCTGTGTGTTAGCATTTTCCCTCTTCACTGGGCCATTGTGTCTGAGGGCAGCAGAGGCTGGTGGTTTACCTGAGCAGATGGGCTCCGGGCTGCTCCAGTGGGGCTTGGAGGCGTTGATGCAGGTGAGCATCTTGGCACCCTGGAGCTCGTAGCCCAGGTGGCAGTGGAAGTGGGCCACCCCGCCTGCATGCAGGTCCATCACGGTGACGTCCCCGGAGTCGGGGCGGCGGGGAAAGCTGCAGCTCAGCATGAAGGCTGGGGGGAAATGCAGAGGCAGACACAGTCACGCTGTGGAGGGGCAGCTCTACCTCCCACATGCTGATTTTTACAGATACAAGTCCTCCCCACTCCCGCCCAGACTCCCCTGGGGAAAGGGTGTTTTTTGTAATTCTTGCTGATCTGTGGTGTTGAAGCTGCCAGGTTAGCACTTTTTCTTGGGCTTCCAGACTCTCCATTCTGCTTCGCCAGGACAGCAGGTGTCGGATGGGGAGGTAGAGGAGGATGAATGCCCATGCTTCATTAGCTCCCCTCTCCCTGTGGGCTTGGATCGCCATAAGCGTGCTAGCTGGGTTAGTCTCACCTGCATTTTTAAACAACCAGCTAAGATGTATATCTGTCCTTCAGGATGTGGGTGCTGGGAAGCCCTGGCCCTGTGGGGGGGTGGTGGTGTTTGGGCTGGGAGGGGACACAGAGTTTGCCCTCTTACTCTGTCATCATGTAACCATGATATTGAGATGGTGTCTGCTCAGAATGCCACACTCCTCATCTTCCCAGTGGAGTTGATGACTGTCCCCCACTACCTCCCAGGTCATGGTAAAGCTGGAGGTATGGGGAGGGTGGGAGAGCGTGGGGAGGAGGTGCTGGGAGGAAGAGCCCCTTCGCACAGGGTCCGCAGACAGAACTCTGCTGTCAGTGGGTGTTTGTGGCTCTCACAGGTTAAGGCTGTCCTGGTTCCATTCCTACACATTCTTGCATTATACAATAGTATTCCTTAGGCTGATTAGGAAGAAAAGAAACTCAAGGAGCCAGGCTTGTGGCATAGCAAGTTAGGCTGCTGCCTGCATGACTGGTGTCCCATGTGAGGATGTCGGTTTGAGTCCCAGCTGCTCCACCTCCCTGCTAAAAGCGCCTGGAGAGGCAATGGAAAATGGCCCAACACTTGCACCCCTATCACCCACATGGGAGACCCAGATGCAGTTCCTGGCTGCTGGATTTTCAGCCATTTAGGGAGTGAACAAATAGATGGAAGAGCTGTCTATCTCTGTAGCTCTGCTGTTCAAATAAATAAACACATCTTAAGTTCAAGCTTCAGTAGGTCATTTAAAAATAAGTTCTGACTTTCTCTACAATGACAAGAGGGAGTCTCAATCTTCAAAGTTCTGATGAAAACAGCATTCTCCCATGGGAAGATACTTTTCAAAAAGGTGCATGGCAAATAGATTTGATAGATATGTTTGTTTTTGTGCAAAAAAAAAATGAGTGAAATTCATTTGTAAGTTCTCATCATACCTACTTTCTATGTTTAAAAGTACAAAAGCAATTTTATCTTCTTCTTTTAAATATTTATTTTTATTGGAAAGACACAGAGGAGGAGAGACAGAAAGATCTGTCCACTGGTTCACTCCCTAAGTGGCCACAACAACAGGAGCTTAGCCGATCTGAAGCCAGGAGCCAGGAGCTTCTTCTGGGTCTCCCATGTAGGTGCAGGGTCCCAAGGCTTTGGGCCATCCTCAACTGCTTTCCCAGGCCATAATCAGGGAGCTGGATGGGAACTAGAGCAGCTGGGACACAAACCAGTGCCCATATGAGATTCCAGCACATGCAAGGAGATTCCAGCACATTCCAGCACATTATGTCAGCCACTAGGCTGCTGCACTGAGCCCAGATTTATCTTCTTTCAAAAAGATTTCTAGATTTGAAAGGCAAAGAGAGAGAAAATGCAAGGAAGAAGATAAAGGATCGAGCATGGGGCTAAAGGGAAGAGACCTGAGCAGTCACATTGATAAGGAAGAACCACAGGTGTTGGGACACGGAGGGAGGAGGACTCTGGTGAGGCAAGCCCCTGACCAGGATCCTCTGCACTCACTCAGGGTCAGTGGATGGGACACAGGGGCTGAGAACCCGAATGGGGACAGTGCTCTCTGTCTCCAGCCAACCCTCCCCAAGCTGCGTTGTCTTGTGTCATGGTGAGTCTGGGCAACAAACTAATGTGTGCGTAGAACCTGTGACCGCAAGAGCAGTCCCAGAGGCTTTCATGCCACGACCAATATCTTGACATATTTCCTATGCTCCCCGGCACTGTGAAATTACAGTAATGATCAGAACTGCTAGAATTTATTGTGATTTCATGGATGGATGAAGAAGCACATGGATTAGGGTAGCAGAGATTAGTGTAATATTTTGACAACTGTAATTTGATATGACTGGCTTCCTGTAAAAGTGTATATATTTTATGATATGATTTTAAAAAAATAAAATTCCTCTGTGGTTCTACCAAGCTGCCTGAAGGGTGGGAGGGTCTCTGGCTCTGCAATGTGAGAATCCATGGTTCCCTGGGGGAAACGGAGGCAAGGGTGAGACCTCATTAAGCCTTGGGCTATCCCTACCCTGGTAATGCAGCTGGAAGTTGCCCAGCCCGTCTTCCTGGAAGGTGCGGAAGTAGACGGAGATGGTGTTGGTGGGGCTGCGGATCACCTGGCCCTCCACCAGGAGCGTCTGGTTGGCCAGGACGGTGAGGGTGGGGCCGTCCACGGCCCGGATGGAGAGCAGCTCCCCCTCCGACAGGTTCACGCTCTTCACCTGAGCGACAGGGAGAAACACCTGAATCGTGTCCACCTCTGACAGCGGGAACCTCCCAGGCTTGTAAGCACCAACGCCATCATCCTCATCACCCCTCTGGGTGACACATTCTCTCCTGTGTTCCAAACTGTTTCAGCAGAAACTCCTATTTATGCTCCAAACAACCCAGCTAAAAGGTGCCCTGGTTGCAGCCAAGGGAGACCCCACCGAATAGCCAGACTCCAACAATCCTCCCTTCCGCGCCGCCCCTAACGCTCCCCAGTAGAGGCACCGCCTCCACCAGCACCTTGCAGGGTTACCTGGAGCTCCACTCCGTAGCCGGTGTAGACCGTCACGTTGTACGTGCACTCCAGGAAGCTGCTGAGGGGCAGCGGCAGGTAGTCGCTGGAGTCGATGTACCCCTCCGGATCGGAGAAGCTCACGCTGCAAAGAGCTGTGGGCAAGAACTTCAATCAGGATGCAAGGCGAGTGACTCAGAAACTCCAAGAGGTGGTGGGGGCTGAGCGGTGGGTTGGATAGGGCTGTTAGGGGGCTCTTGGTGTTTTATTTCTGTCCCTACTCAGCGCTTGCTTTCTTTCTCCTTCAACTCTAGACTCTACGCGGCAGTATAAGCAGCCGCAGTTGACACAGAATGGCAGTGGCATGCTGCCAGCGACCACCTGAAGCAGTCTACAGGAACGATGGCCTTGGCTGGGCTACACTCCTCCCAGAAGTGTGAGCTGGAGCTCAGGGAGGGGCCATGCTGGCTCTGCCTCTTGCACCAGGATCACACCTAGAGTTGACACGCTTCAGGGCAGGGCCACATCCCATGTATGCAAAGCTGAGCTGCGGTGTGTGTTGGGGGTCCTTTCCTGTGCTTGCAGCTGGGACATGGACAGCCAGGGCAACAACATGGAGGGATCTTCATGGAGCATCTTCCCCTGGTCTCCATGGAGATTGTTCCTGGGACCCAGTATGGTACATTCTTTAGATCCCCTAGATCCTCTCCGGGTGCTTTCCAACACCTGACATGCATACCCGCTTTGCAAATAGGAGTTATGCTGCACCAGCTGCAGAATGACAACAAGGCAAAGGTGTGTACATGTTCAGTACAGGCACAGTTAGTTTTCTGATCTGGTTGGTGGGAGGCATGGCTGCAGATCAGGGCTGCAGCTGAGAAGGGGCTGACTGCCGTGGGGGACAAGCGGAAACATCTCTTCCAGGCTCATGCCTTCGCTTCCCAAGAGGTAACAGGATCCTGTCCCATGGGAGAAAAAGGTGTTGAATACACTGGCCCCACCCATTTGCAGTGTGGTCTCAGGTGATAAGCAGGAGCAACAAACCCTCAGTTGATCTCCTCTTTATATTTCTTACTTGTTCATGTATTATTTATTTGGAAAGGAAGAGAGAGAGAGACAGAGAGAGGAACTACTGTCTCCTGGCTCACTTGTCAAATACATGCAATGACCAGGAATGGGCTGGGCTGAAGCCAGAAGCTGGAATCCTAATTTTTCATGTGGGTGACAAGGACCCAAGTTCTTGAGCCATCATTGCCTGCTGCCCTCCAGGTGCGCATTCACAGGACACTGCAAAGGAAAGTGGAGCTGAAACTTGAGCCCAGGAACTCTGATAAGGGATGTAGTTGCACCAAGCTGTCTTATCTGCTGTGCCAAATGCTTGCTTCTCTCTCCCCTTAAAAGTCACATCACCCATTCTGAGTGAGGCACAAGGCCCAGCTCTAAGTCCTGGCTCTGTAGATGGATTATGATGGTGGGGCGTGGGCTTCCAAGGAACCACTGTACTGCTTCCCCCATGTCCTGCACACTGTGAGTGCCTGCTGGCTGGTGCAAGGCAGGGGGGCATGGGACTCTTGGGGGATTGCATACCTGGGGCCTGTTCCGTGGTGATGACTGTGGTGGTGATGATGGTGGTCGTGGTGGTCTCCTGGCTCTCCTCTGAGGCTGACCCAGTCAGTTCATTCTCCGCTTTGTCCATCAGGGTCACAGGACTGATGTCCTGGGCTGCAGCCTCATGGGACTCATCAGGCACTGTAGGTTCCCCAGGGTCTGGCCTCTGGGGCAGGGTGTGGGCCACATAAGGCTGCGAGGTGAAGGGGGAGATCTGTAACGGCGCAGGTGTTGTGGGGACAGTCTCCTCCTTGCTGTCTGGCCAGAGGGCCACCTCTGAAGATGGCTCTTCATCCATGAGGGGGTCCGGGGCGTCCAGGGGCTGGGACTTCTCCATGGAGGAGGAGAAGAAGGTGGAGGAGGCAGATGAGGAGGAGGAGGAGGAGGAAAGATCCAAGCCCGAGGACTGGGACCCTGCCCTCTGGGTGGCTGCTGTAGAGGTGGCCTTTGGCCTCAGTTGCTTCCGGGCTGAGTTCACCTGCTTCAGAGAAGGCAGCTTCTTTCGGGGGAGGAAGGGATGCTTGGTACCCGCCTCCTCCGGCAGCACTGAGGACAGAGCTGGGGCTTGAGGACCAGTAGGGGTCGCTATGCCGTCTACCTCCAGCTCGCCAAGCTCTTTCTCCGATAGGGCAGATGGCAAAGGCGGCATCGTCATTCCCTCCAGGGAGCTCTCTTTGCTCAGACTGGCTTCTTCCAGAGCCTCCAAGGGTAGAAGAGCAGGACCCGAAGGGCTGGTATCTCCCTCTGGGCTGGCATCTTGGAAGGAGAGAAAAGACAGTCATTAGCTGGGGGTGAGTGGTCCTTCAGCAGGCTCTCAGAGTGACCTTCTTAAGGATGTCCCCGCTGTCCTGCCAGGCTGGCTTCTGCATCAGCTCCTTGGGGCAGGTGTGTGGCCTTTGACCTAAGATGCTCCTTTTCAGGCTATGATGCCCCTACATGACTTTAGAGAGCCGCCAGCTCCTGCCTCCCACTTACTGCCTGCTGGGAGGCAGCAAGGGAGGGCTCAGATCCTCCAGTGCCTGCCACCCACGTGGGAAATTTGGTGGGAGTTTGCAGCTCCTGGCTTTGGCTTGGCTCAGTGCTGGCTGTTGTGGACATTTGGCAAATAAATCAGTGGGTGGGAGCTCTCCATGTCTGTGGGTTTCTGTCTCTCCAAATAAGTAAATAGAAAAACTTAAACAGCACTTCCCTTCTCTCCTGCTTTCCCTTCTCCCTTACTTTCTTCCTCCTTTCCTCCCTTCTTCATTTTATCTTGTCTTTTCCTCTTTCTTTCTTTCTTTCTTTCTTTCTTTCTTTCTTTCTTTCTTTCTTTCTTTCTTTCTCTCTTTCTCTCTTTCTCTCTTTCTCTCTCTCTTCCTTCCTTCCTTCCTTCCTTCCTTCCTTCCTTCCTTCCTTCCTTCCTTCCTTCCTTCCTTCCTTCCTTCCTTCCTTCCTTCCTTCCTTCTCCCTCCATATTTTCCTTCTTGGCTTTCCTGCCTCCTTCTGTCCCATTTGCTTTCTTCCTTCTCCCATTCCCGTTTCTCCTTCCTTTTCCTGAAGACATAAGCCTGGTCACTCTGGGTCTGAGGTCAAGAGTGTAAGAATCTCGTGGTCTGCAGAGAGAGAGAGAGAAAGACTTCGGACAGTGAGGATGAGCTGCTAGCCCAGTCTGCTGGCTAGGACCATGCCTCCCAGGTGTACACTACACAGGGACATCCAACTAAGAGAATGCATGGGGGAGGTCTAAGCTGTGCGCCTCAGCTCGGGTTTATCGCATCCCAGGTCTAGAGGAGGGCAATTTTGCTTTTCTCTTTTACAAACTAATATAAATATGTCCTTGTGAGAAACACAGCCTGGCTGAAGCAAGAGAGGAATTGCAAGGGAGAAGGGGTGGAGGGTGCTGAGGCTGAAGCTGAGCCAGGTCCTGGTGTGCCTCACCACCATCGTGATCTCCTCATGATTTAGTTTTGTCTTGAACGTGAACTTGCCTGCAGGTGCCTCTGATGAAGCCATACCCCGATAAGCACATCAGAAACTGAAAATGGTCAGCCTAAAATGCAGGTAATTCACTATGCATAGCTTAGCAGCACACACACTGCAGAGACCTGGTTGATGGCACAGTTGATCTGTGGTTGATGCCACAGGTCCTGACACAGTGGTTTCTGCAGCCACAGTGAGAGAAGCAATCACATACTGCCTACTGCTAACCCCAGGGCAAGAGCAGAAGCCGAAACTCAAAGTACAGGTTCTACTGAATGCACATTACTTAAGTAAAAAACAAAAAAATGCAAGTAAGATGACCTCAAGTTAGGGAGTGTAATAGTTTTTTTTTTTAAATATGTTTATTTATGTATTGACAGGCAGATACAGACTCCTATACACAAAACTCCCAGTCACTGACTCATTCTCCAAGTGCCTACAACAATTGGGGCTGGCCCGTGCTGAACCTGGCAGCCAGGACACTCAACACACATCTCCCAGATGAGGGGCAGAGACCCAGGCAGCTGAGCCATGTCCTGCTGCTTCTCAGAGTGTCCATCAGCGGGAAGCTGGAAGAGGGGGCAGAGCCGGGACTTGAACCCAGGCAGTCTGAGGTGAGAAGTAACATCCTAGCCAATAGCTTCACTGCTGCTTGCGGATGTTCTGTCTGTGTCTGGCACAGCCGACCCAAGTAGCTCTCGGGCAGAATTGTGCTTGGAATCAGCTTGGAACTTCAGTTTTCCTGGCTGTCAAATGGATCTGTTCTTGCCTGTCATTGTGCAGTAGGCAGAGATATGTTGAACACCCTTGTGAATGTGCAGGAAATGCCAGCAGCTGCATCACTTCTATCCCCCTGCTGTCCCCCGCTACTGGCGTCACAGCCCCTGCTGCCCCTCCCCTTGGTAGGAAACTGGAATCTGAGAACATTCATGACGATGATGGGGAGACAGACAGGAATGACATCACTGGGACAAAGGCTCCTGGATGGAGTGTGGGCTCTGACGATCTGCTGCCACTGATCCTGTAGAGCTCCAGCCTCCAGACCTCCAGCACTGTCATTTAAATTTATTTCCTCCACCATTAGAAAGCCTCCATTTATTTTCATGGACTTGGCTGCTGCGGTGGCTTCATCTGGAGGGACGGCGACAGTTTGCAGCTGGCACCGGCAAAGATTCCTGTTGCGTGGCATTGATTGCCAGCCAGTGTTGACTTCTGGCCAAGGCCACCATGCAGCAGGAGTGGGCCCCGGGGATCAGAAGGCGGCGGGAGGGTGTGGATGACGTGAGAAGTAGGTCAAGGTCACTGAGGACCAAGTAGGCTTCCTGGTCCCAGGTGGGATGGGTCAGGCCTGGATTTAAAGCCTGCCCTGTTGCAGTTAAGGGCTATGGAGCTTCCCTCAATCCCTTAATGTTTCTGAGGTTCAGGATCCTGTGTAGAATGGAATCAATCCGTCTTGCCCCATGGGACAGGAGTGGATGGCGGTGTGCTGGAAGGCTGTGGTTTTGACGCTCACAGTGGCTTTTGTCAAATGTTAGATGTTGGTTGCCTTTGTGGGTTGTGGAGGGAGAAGAAGCTGAAGGGAGAAGGAATAGAGAATGAGGGCTCGGGACACGCAGCTCATAAACCACGCTGTGGTTCGATGCAGACAACCCTGGATGCTGTCAGGGGCTGGGGATAGGTGCCTGGGTAACTGCTCTGTCCAGGTCTCTGCTGTCTTGTCTATCTCAGCAGGGACAGCGTCTCTGTATTCTCTGTGTCACATGGGCAGCTCCATGAGGGAGGACTTATTTGAAAAGAGAGAGAAAGAGAGGCCATTCATTAATTCATTTCCCAAATACAAGTTAAGGGTGGACTGGGCCAAAGCCAGGATTCAGGAACCCAGTCCGGGTCACCCACAAGGGTGGCAGGGGATCCAAGTCCTTGAACCTTCACCTACTACCTCCCAGGTCGCACATCAACAGGAAATTAGAGGTGGAGGCAGAGTCAGGACTTGAACCCAGGACCTCTGATGCAGGGTGTGGATGTGTCAAGTGGTGTCTTAACTGCTACCTCCAATGCCCAACCCTGACATTACTAGTTGTGTGTGTGTGTGTGTGTGTTTTCTTTCAATAACCAGGTCATTATCAGTGATTCTTAGAGCCATTTTGTTAACTCTACTGAGATGGACCAAGGGACTGCCAGATCTTGATACTGGATGATCCTGGGGGGCTCAGCAGTGCCTCCATCAACACTTCCCATGGATTGCAAGGGAGAATGAGAGAAAGGGAAAGATTGGGGAGGGAGGTGGGAAGGAAGCGGGAGGGAGAGAGAGACAGGTGGGGAGAGAATTGTTGTGGGAAAACAATGTGTGTCATTTACACACAAGGAGGTGACAGCAAGCTCAGCAGTGTGCCTTGGCACTAACGGCAGTGAAATTCAGAACATTTTATTTTTGATGGCTTCATTGAGTGCTGAATGTGTGCCAGGCAGGCACTAAAGGCTTTATTTCCTTTAATTTTCCCCAACTTTATTATGCAGAAATTTGTCTTCTTATTTTACATCTGAGCAGAGGTTTGGGGCTTCTTACATGAAGTTTAATGTTGAGCTCACACAGCACAGCTGTTTCAGATCTAGATTTCCCTGACTCGAAAGACTATACAACTTGCCCTGGTAAGATATATAGGGTATTGGGCAGCAGGGTGAGATGGTGGAGGTGGAGTTTGGCTCAGCAACTAAGAACTCTTAGTTCCACATTGCAGGAGCTGGATTTCAATGCTGGCTCCATTTTTGATTCCCACTTCCTGTTCATGCCTGGGAACAGGGGTGGGCATTGAAGTGAGTCCCTGCCACTTAGGTGGGAGACCTGGATTGAGTTTCTTGCTCCCTGCTTTGGTGCCAGCTTGTAGCAGTTTGGAAGGTGAACCAATGAGTGGCAGTCTGTCTCTGTGCGTCTCAAATGAATGATTAAAAAAAAAAAACAAAAAGAAATAAGAGAATTAAACTGTGGGGTATTGTCAATTGTTGTTCTCAGCTTGAAACAGCCTCTTCCCTTCTATATACATACACTCTTGTATCTATGTTCCTGGTAGATGGGCTTTAGTGTTCATTTAACCTTCTGAAGGGTGATTCCACTCCAATCACCCAAACACAGACCCAACACATGCCTCCCTGCGTCATCCAAATCCTCCAAGACTCAGAGAAGCCAACAAAGGCAGAGGGCAATGCAAGAGCAGCCCCATTCATTGCTGCCTCCTACTTCCCCATTCTCCAGAGTCTCCAGGTTAAAAGGTGCTAACCACTGCAGCTACCAAGCACTGCAGGAAGTACATCCAGGTACCCATGAAAAAAAGAGATTTTTCACGTGGCAGGTAAACTCACCTCCTTTCCCCCACTGTCACCACCTTCTGAGACAGTACATTCCTTGGGACCTTGCTGGAGGATTTCAGTTCAAGATAGGTGCATGTGCATCCCAACATGTGCAGGCATCAGGCCCTGTTCTTAGCTAGAATATTAGCTGGCCGAATGCCTTGCAACGCCAAGTCCCACTGAGGATTAGTTAAAATTGGATTCTAGGGCCTCAGAGAGCCAGCAACTTAATAACTTGTTCTAATAGGCTGATTTTTTTTTCCCCCTGGGGCTCCAACGGCCACTGGTTTGATTCTTAGGGCACTTAAAATTTCTGGTTATAGCAGTCACATTTAGCTGCTCTTT